AACTGAAAGGTTTTCATCCAGATGAAAAAATAAAAAGAAAGAATTATCAGCACTCTGGTATTATCAACCCATGATGATACTTTAAATACACCATCTCTGCCTAGCTGATGACCTGTCCCCCAGCCTGAGCAGTAACTTTTTCTCATCTGCTAAGCTTCTGTTAATTTTGCATCCCTTGCATTTGGGGGATTCAAGAAGCAATTGCCATTGCCTCTCTGGCCATCTTACTTTCCCACCCTGAGCTTCCTTCCAGGCCTCTGGGGTTCTCCTTACTTTCCCATGCAGTGCCAAGGCAAATGGGGGAGGTAGGCATCAGGTCATCCCATGTCCATCTTCAATGCTTTTCCCTGCCCCATGGGTCCCTGGGTTTCTCTGCATGCTCAAAGCCTGGTCATCCTTTGCAAGATGGTCATGGCTGCCTAAAAGCACCAACGTCTACCACTCTCTGAGGACCTGACTTGCAAGAACACACCAGGAAGCAGGGCTCATGCTCCATCTGCTCTTAGCATCCCCAGATCTCTTTCTGTGCCTTCTCCCATCTTTCTTCTCACAACCCAGGGGATTGGGGAAGGGGAGCCAAGGATCATTCTTTCCCTCCAAATTTTTTTAAGGCACATAGTCCTTTGGTCTAAAACCCCCTTGCCACTTTACAAAGTGGGGGGTGGGGGAGGAAAAAGAAACATTCAAAAAGAAATTAGGTCCTTTTTTGTAAAATAAAAGAAAAATGCCTCCACTAAGGCAATGAACAACATGCTTGCATAGAGAGAGGACATCAGAGAAACAAAGGCATATCACAAATGTCAACCAATCACTTGAAAAACACATGTTTAGGGATCCCTGGGTGGCTCAGTGGTTTAGCGCCTGCCCCAGGGGGTGATCCTGGAGTCCAGGGATCAAGTCCCACATCCGGCGCTCCCCGCAGGGACCCTGCTTCTCCCTCTGCCTGTGTCTCTGCCTCTTGCTCTGTGTCTCTCATGAATAAATAAATAAAATCTTTAAAAAAAAAAAAAGAAAAGAAAAGAGAAACACATGTTTACTCTCCTTTCCCTCACTCAGGACTTGTGCTGTGGTCAGTTCTGATTCTTTCTTGGCAAATGATATTGCTTGCAAGAAATGTCAAAATAAAAGCTTCTCTTCTGTTCCTCCTCACAGTCCCTTTGCACCTACATTTCTCCAGCAGCTTCTGTCCACTTCTGTGGACTCTTCCCAGGCTGGTTCATGCATCCTGAGAGAAGCTGGCTTAAAGTCACCTTTGCCTTCCCTGCCACACGTCCCCCAGTCAAGAAAAACAAAAGTGTCAAAGGCAGCAGGTCAAGTGGCCCCATGCATCCTCCAGAATGTCTTAGCCTGAAATGCCCCTGCCCCTGCACCTACCCCAAGTAGGTACATTATATGAACACTTTCTAATTCCCACATCCCAGGGCACCTGGGTGGCTCAGGGCATGATTCTAGAGTCCTAGGATTGAGTCCCACATTGGGCTCCCCACAGGGAGACTGCTTCTTCCTCTGCCTATGTCTCTTCCTCTCTTTGTCTCTCATGAATAAGCAAAATCTTTAAAAATAATAATTCTCACATCCCAAAATGTCCTTTTTAGCCTTCATCTTACTTGCTTTTCTCTATATACAGAAGATGACCATTCCCCCTCCTTAAAACTCTCTTCTTAGATATGACTTGCATGGCATTTATGCCCTCCTAGTTTTCCTCCTCCTCCCCTACCACAGCCTGGCTCTGGAATCCAACCCTTCCATCTGCCCTTTCATTGCTAATTTGCTGCAATGTCCTGTCCTTGACCCTCCCCTTACTAACTACATGCCCTCACAGAACAATCTCAACTGCTGCCAGTGCTACAACACCTACCAAAACCTCAAAAAAACCCCGCCACATTCTCTCTCCTCCCTCCCTCCTCCTCTCCCTTTCTGATTCCACACACATATATGCAATCACTTGTTGACTGTTTTGCTAGAATACAAAAAGTCAAGGGAGCCTGCTAATTTCCTATATTTGAAAGTCAGGACCAGCAGACCAAGACTAAAGGGGTGGATTCCAACTCAACACAAGGGAGAATTTTCTAACAAAGAGCACTAGCCAGTAGTGAACAGGCCGCTTCTGAGGTAGTGAGCTCCCCATGACTAGAAGTGAGCAGAGAGGACTCCTACACATAGTACGAGCCCAAACTAAGCAACATCCATGTTCACAGCTCCTCATGAAACTGATATTTCTCAGCTTGGCATTCAGAGATTTGAATAGATAGAAGTTTGTTGGTGGTGTTCTTTTCTTTTTTTTTTTTTTTTTCATTTTGTTGAGTACCTAATATTGCAATTCTTCACTGTAGGACACTGGTTAGAAACCATGGCAATATTACCTTTTATTCAATTATTTTTTTAAATAACCACAATTTTGCCCATCCCATAATTTATCTTACAAACTCATTTGTCATACACACTCTAGTTTTGCGAGAACAAAATTTACTTGGTCATTGATTGAAGGCTTTCAGATTAAAGCAGAATTGGAAAACTCACTGCTTCTGCACATTTCTCTCTGTTCTATTCCTACATGCTACTTTTAAAAACAAGCAAATAGAAAAGGAATGCTAATTAAATCCTAACCTAATCTAACACAAAGACTTTTTAAAAGTTCTTCAAAGAGTGCCTGGGTGGTTTAGTTGGTTAAGCATTCGACTCTTAGGCTTCAGCTCAGGTTGTGATCTTGGGGTTGTGAGATTGAGGCCCATGTTGGGCTCCATGATCAGCAAAGAGTCTGCTTGGGATTCTTTCTCTCTCTCCCTCTGCCCCTCCCCTACTCTCTAATAAATAAATAAAATCTTTAAAAAAATAAAAAAAGAAAGCAAACTGCCTGCAACTCCATCATGTAATCAAATTGTTTCCATTTATTCCTGTTAGTCCTTATCACTTGCATATACCACTGTTTCATCTTTACAGTACTATCAGAACAGTTTCCTAGTCTGTATTTTCACTTACTGTATCATTAGCATTTTTCCATTTCATTACTTTTTTCCCCTTACTTCCCCCCCCCCCCCTTCAAGATACCCAACGCTTGCAGCCCAGAGAGAGTTATCCTTCTACATCTTTCCCAGTGCTTGGATTAAGTTGGGGGGAGGGGCACACCAGAACACCATTTAAACCAGAACAATTGACTAAGCTCCCTCATTTTCTTATTTTCCGGACATCCCTCAGCTTCCTACATCCTTCCTCCAGGAGACCCTGTTGCCCTCCTACCCATTGTTGGAATTAACCAGAAAGAGGAACTGCAAAGATTGATTTTTAAAAAACAAGAGTGCCCTTGATTTTCAACTGCTTCTTGGATCACAGCAGCAGAAGCCAATGAGTGTCCTTTGCTCAGCTTCTCACACAAGGTCTCATCCTGTGTGCCTTGCTCTCTCCCTCCAACATCCATATACTCCACCCACCTGGTGACTTGTGCTTTTATTCAGGTTCCACTGCCTCACTGCTCCCACTTACACAGTCCTAAGACAGCACAACCTTGCCATTCTGCCCTTCTGCCAACCTCCTCGAGTCCCCGTTTCTTGGTTCAGTTTCTGTTTCACCTTCTTACAGCCGAGATGCTCATTTTCACATCTGTCTAATTAGCACCAGCACTGGGACGAGGTGGCAGAGGAGGAGGAGAGGAGGGAGGAAGAGGAGGAGGATGAAAGGAGATGAGAGGAAGAGTGGAGGAGGGGAGAGGAGGACGAGAGGGAGGAGGAGGAAGAGGAACCACAGAACCATGTGGTCATATGGTCTACGACTGTCCCTTTAGCAAGGACAGCCAAGAGGATATTTTTTTCTCCCTGGGACAGTTTTGGTCATGAGACCCCTTGCAGCGAAAGCCACTGCTTTCCCCTCAGAAGATCGTGCCTTGCTCCCACACATTGTGGGGACCCTGAAAAAATCATTTAAATGGTTAAATGTTCATTTCACTGCTATGGAGTTGAAGCAGATTTCAGATCTGAAGCTTGTTCCTGATTCAACTTCAGTTGGGAAGCAGGGAGGTGATCCCCGAGCCAGCCACAGAGGCAAAGGTGACTTACTCTGCTTCATCAGACTACCAAGGCATGGCTCCCCCAGAATCTGCCTCTAGGCTTGTACTTACAAGGGGGTGGGCAGCGGAGAGCAGACTTCAGGGTCACATGTGGGATTAGGGCATGGTTCTGCCATTTCCTGGCTCTGGCATTCTCCATAAATCAAAACATTTTGAGTCTTTGTTTCTTCATTTCTAAAATGACTTGATTTAGGACACCTGGCTCAGTCAGGGGTGGCAGGCAACCATTGATTGTGGGGTTGTGAGTTCAAGTTCCCTGTTCAATGTAGAGCTTACTTACAAATAAAATCTTTTAAAAAATAAAATAAGATGATTTAAAAACCCAGTGACTTCATATGTAAGGAATTGTAAAGACTAAATGATTAAATAGAAAATAAAAGTCTGGGCAGCCTGGGTGGCTCAGCGGTTTAGCGCCGCCTTCAGTCCAGGGTGTGATCCTGGAGACCTGGGATTGGGTCCCGCATCGGGCTCCCTACATGAAGCCTGCTTCTCCCTTTGACTGTGTCTCTGCCTCTCTCTCTCTCTCTGGGTCTCTCAATAAATAAATAAATAAATAAATAAATAAATAAATAAGTAAGTAAGTAAGTAAATGAGTTAAAAAATCCTTTCATACCAGCTGAGGGCTACATAACTGCTGGTTTAATCTATTTGCCATTTAGTGTTACGGCCTGCAGAACGTTCCTGTTAACTAAGTAAATGGTCAATTTTTCATCAACAGGAATAGAAGAAATCAGCCACCAAGTCATCAATGTTTTTTGGATTCTAATCCTTGCCCAAAAAATTATTTTCTTTCACAGAGTAGTTTTAAGTGTCCAAGTATTCCAATCCTTAAAATGTAAGCCATTTTACAAAGCCATTACTCCTTAACTGAAGGAGTAAGGCTTTGCTGGTAAGTAAGTATCCAGTTAGAAGGGGGGAGGGGAGTAAACAAAAGCAGATCAAATTTTTTCTACCTTTATTTATAAAGAACACGACTCCTCCTGACACAGACACAAACACTCACATGTCCCAAGGAGAAGCTCATTAAAAACAACAACAGCATAACTGGAGGACATTGGGACCTTATCTAATGCCAGTCTGTGTGCTCGACTTGGGGATCGCTGGGAATGTGTCATCAAATGTGACCTCCACCTCCATGAAAGAGAGAGAACTTCATTTGGAAGGCATGCCCACCCACCAAGCCAGAAGCTGCACACTCAATCTTCAGCATCATCAAACTGTCCTGTTTCGAAGACCATCTTGGAATAATGGGGTATCAGTGGAGGTGGATGGTGCCAACTAGGGTCATAGATCATGTCTCCTTGTGGGGCACAGCACACCCAAGGTTTGACCTCTTGAGAGATGCAACCCTGGATGTCATCGGCATCTGCAAGCAGTTAAAAAACAAACAAACAAACAAACAAAAAAACAGATTAAAGGTGGGGGGGGCAGGGACCGAGAGCCAAAAATACCTAGGGGACAGACACCTGAACTTCTTTGTTTAAAAGCACACAGAGTGCTCCCTGGATTGCAAATGTGTTCATTCTGAGGAAGCCACCTGAGCGGAGCTTCTCAAAGGGGGATCCTTTGCAGTGCAGAGGCTGCAACTGCAGAAGACAGCACTTCTGTCTGCAGAAGCTAGATTCACACCGATATTTTAAGAGAGCAACACTGTTTCAATGTTAAAACTGATACATTATAAAGTCAACTACAAAATTTGTATTTTTTTCCAATATGAAAGAGAAGCTGTCACAGAAATTTCAGCCCTGTAACAGGTGTCAGGCTAAGGTCACAGACTGGGTCCGTCTTTCAAACGGTCTGCCTGTGGGGTAATTTGGTAGGAGGATCTCCAAACCTTGGACCCCCCAGAAATGCCACACCTACCATATGGATTGCCTTGATCTGCTTTCAACTCCAAGTCCCAGTCCTCGTTAAAAATATCAGCAGCCGATTCCTTGGGCGGACAGTTGGACACCCCTTCTGACAGCTCCCAGGTATTCAGGTCCCCATCAGAATCCTCATCATCCACAGCAAAGCCTTCCTCTTCCGAGTGGGTGCCCTCATCGTGGGTAGGACTACCATTAGGGACACTCTGTGCTCCACTGGCTAAGAAACCAACAGAAGGGAGAAGGTCTTAAAACCACCAGCATCTGCACAAGGCCTACTCATCATGTGCTTGGAAAATGTTTGCCAGATTTACTGTGAGGGCAAGAAGTGAAACAAGTGTACAGAGTTCTTTAGCCACCTGAGCACTTTATTATTGCTTTTTGAAAGATTTTATTTATTTATTCATGAGAGAGAGAAAGAGAGAGAGAGAGGCAGAGACAGAAGCAAAGGGAGAAAGCAGGCTCCATCCAGGGAGCCCGACGTGGGACTCGATCCCGGGACTCCAGGATCACACCCCGGGGGTGAAGGTGGCGCTAAATCGCTGAGCCACCCGGGCTGCCCCACCTGAGCACTTTAAAACAAAAATGTTGGGCAGCCCAGGTGGCTCAGCGGTATAGTGCCACCTTCAGCCCAGGGCTGTGATCCTGGAGACCCGGAATCGAGTCCCACATCAGGCTCCCTGCATGGAGCCTGCTTCTCTCTCTGCCTATGTCTCTGCCTCTCTCTCTCTGTCTCTCATGAATAAATAAATAAAACCTTTTAAAAATAAATAAAAAATAAAACAAAAATGTTGTTCTGTTTACCTTTTATGAAGTATGGTTGATCTTTTTTTTCAATAAAACTTTTTGCCTTAAATGAGGCCATTAATTGCAAACTCTTGTAATTTGCAGAGGGAATCAAGCAAATCAAGCACAGTTTATATTTTTAGTAGTTTATGGGTAATTGAGGCAAAGGGCATCTGGCAAATGATAAGCCTTCATGACACGAACTTGAATTGAATTTTTACTATTCTATTTCTCTCTTCATCCTCAAGGAGCACAGGACAAGGTGCAGCAGGAGGAAAGCAGATGGAAGAGCAGAACCCATCTAATCACAATAGACAGCCACCACGTCTCCTCCTCCCAATACTGGAGAGGGCTGGACAGTATATTTTCAAAAAATCTCAAAATAATGGAAGAAAGTCTGGGAGAGGATAAGAGACCTCCAACCGTATCGTGCTATGGTGATGCCAGGTAGAGCTGGGAAAAGAATCAGCCTAAAAACAGCCATGTTACTAGTACTGCATAAGAATGACCAACAGCTATAAGCAAAGAAGTAATAGTTCAGGGCATGGGTTCTGGGGCTAGACTACCCCAGTACAAATGCGGGTTCTGCCAATCAACAATTGTGTGACTAAGCTGAAACATACTTAACCAAGTCTTCAAGAACTTCAACACACAGCCCAGCCATTCCACTCCTACATGGACCAAAGAATGGAAAACAGGTATTTTAACAAGATCTGTACAAAAATGTCCATGACAGTACTGCTCACAATCACCAGAAGGTGGAAACAAGTCAAATAAATGCCCATCAACAGAATGAATAACCAAGCAAGATGTGGTGTAACCATATGATGAAGGGATTCAGCTATAAAAAGGAATGTATTGATTCATTGTACATGAATGAATCTTGAAAATATGCTGAGTAAAGGAAGCCAGACATAAAAGGCCATATAGGGTATCCTCCATTTACATGCAATTCACATTTGCCTAACCAGCATAGGGAAACCCAGAGACATAAGGCAGATCAGTGGTCGCCAGGGACTTAAGGAAGGGGAGATGGGGTGTGGCTACTTATCGGGCACAGACTTTCCTCATGGGATGCTGAAAATGTTCTGGAACTAAACAGCCGTGGTGGTTACACAACACCGTAACTGTATGAAGTGGCACTGAGCTATACTCTTTAAAACTGGTAAATGATAAATTTTATGTGTTTTACCACTTTTTTTTTTTTAATTTTTACTCTGTGCCTCAGTTTTCACATCTGTAACTATGAAGATAGGATTGTTGTGGGGGTTGTTTTTAAAAGGGGGCAAGGGGAAAAGAAACACTTAGAATTGTACCTTGCACTTACTCAGTGTCAGCTGTTATGACTATTATCTCCGTGTGTGCATGGTGCTTTTTCTGGACCAGCACTCTCTAACAGGACTTTCAGTGATGATGGTAATATTCTCTCATCTGTGCTCCAAAAGACTAGCTAGCATGAGCCACATGTGACTGCTGAGCACTTTAAACATGGCTAATGTGAATAGAGAACTGAAGTGTTCGTTGTACTTAATTCTATTTAGCTTAGATTAAAAGAGCACCAGTAGCTGGTGGCTACTACAGCTCTATATCTTCCCACCCGATCCTCAGAACCACCCTCTGAGGTAAGCATTATTATCCCCATCATAAAGAAGAAGAAAGGATAAATGATTTATCTAAAGCCACAAAATTCAAGCCCCAGACTCCTGAACCAGAGCTGCAAGTGAAAACAACATGGCCAGGCTTCAAAGCCTATATACTCCTGCCACTGCCCTAAGCTGTCTTTTCTCAGTAGAAGGGATGGATTTGGACACAGGGGCAGGACTTCACTAAAGAAAGCTCCAACAGGACTTCCAAATGAGGGCACTGTGGAAACACTAAGCAGAAAACACAACTCAGGGATGCCTGGGTGGCTCAGTGGTTAAGCGCCTGCCTTTGGCTCAGAGCATGATCCCAGAGTCCCGGGATTGAGTCCCACATCGGGCTCCCTGCACAGAGCCTGCTTCTCTCTCTGCCACGTCTCTCTGAGTGTCTCTCATCAACGAATAAACAAAATAAGAAAGGAAGAAAGGGAAGGAAGGAAGGAAGGAAGGAAGGAAGGAAGGAAGGAAGGAAGGAAGGAAGGAAGGAAAAGGCAACTCAGCAGCAAAGAAAACTGGCTGGAAAGAGGAGGTCAACAAGACGTAGGGACGATCCCTCTCATCGCGTCCTTGGTCTCTCCCACATTCACCCCCTTCTCCACCATTTACTTGCCTAGCCGATCCATGGCCTTCTCAGTCTCTCTCTCCTGCCCAGAGCGGTCAGCAGGGGCAAAGCTGGCCTGCAGGAAGAAGAAACAGTTACCCAGGACTTGGATGTGTGGGGTACCCCCAGTATTAAGCTACCGTCTCATGGCCTCAAACCCCAGTCTTCCATCCTCACCTTTCTGAGGGTGGGGCTGGGACTCTGCAATCCCTATTTCTGCTTTGCCGTATTAGATGCATCAAGGCTGGAGGTAGAAGGGCCTTTCTCCTTCCTATTCCTGCAGATACCACCCCAGCGACACTTCACCCCTGGCAGCAGCAGCAGTGCCTTCCTATAGCAGCTGCTTGATCCAGTTTAGTTTGCCAACATTGGCAGAGCCAACCTCATCACTGGGCCCTCTCTTCAGGGGTCTCCATCCTAGGCCCTCAGGACCCCTCCTCCAAGCTCTGAGACCCCAGCAGTAGCTGCAGGCAGCACCTCTTCCTGAGAAGTTGGGATTCCAGCTCTGTGAATCTCTTCTCTGAGCCTGTAAATTTTAATCATTCCAACCTCATTCCCTCTAACTTCCTGCCAAATTCTGTCTCCTGATACATGGGGGCAACATGTAGCTGTAGTTCCTAAGTAATGCTCAAGGGAAATCTTCTTCTACAGCCAACCATATGCTTCTCTGCTCTATCACTTAAAGACCATTTTGTAAATGGAACAATAAATGTTCACAGCCTGCCTGAACACAGACCTGGTTTCAATGACAGGCTCTGCCATTCATTCAGAGTGTGACCTTGGATAGATTGCTTCAACCACCATGCCTGGGTTTCCTTCTCTGGACACTGGAGAGGACTATTCTGACCTTGCAAGGAGCTTACAATTGAGAGAACAGTTCTGAAAACACCGCGGACATAACAGGAATGTAACATTAGTTGAACTGAAACCCCCCTTCTTTGCCCTCACACCTAAACTGCACTTGGCACCAGCCCCAGTTGGCTCATGGCCTAGTCATCCTTAGATTTAATGAATAAATTCCACTTTGGGAATGGTTGAATGACAACCCTCTGGACTACTGCAGGTCAGCTGATAGGCTCCCTCACGTGGACCACCGCCATAGCTACCTGTCCTCCCACTCACCCACCCTGCCCAACCTTAACAGGATTAATCGTCACTCTGCTCAAAAATTTTCCCTCCACATAGGAGCCTAACATTGGCCATGGCATTCACACTTCCCCATCACCACCTATCAACCTGTGGAGCATCGTTCTCTCCCCTGGCTCTGAGGCTCTATGACCCCAGCTCCCAGCCATCTGCCCTGTACCTCCTCACCTCCAGGCCTCTGCAGGCACCACCACCCTGTCCCCTTGGAGAGAAGCGCACATCCCTTCCTGTAGGTCCTGAAGTCTCATCCCATCTGCACTCCAAAGTAATTTCATACCTATCACTACATTTTTCATATCTTACTCCGGTTTAGTGCCATCTTTGATGCTTAAACAAGCATTCCATTCCTCCCTCAGATTTAGGAGCTGTGTCTCTCGGGACTACGCCAGGCGCCGGGTTTACAGCACTCAACAGAGGGTAGCCACCCTCACGGAGCTCACCATCCAGAACTTACTGACCGTAAACAAGGACAGGTGAGGACGGTAATAACGGTCTTTGAAAAACCAGAAGCTGTCTGGCGCGCAAATGAAAACAAGTTTTTGGAAACCCTGCGTCAAGCTGGGCCTTTGGTTTCAGTAAACAGAAAAGGAGAGCGCAGGAGACATCATGTGGTGCCCAGGGCGCGCTGTGCGTAGCCACCCGTGGTCACAGGTCCCTCACCTGGCCGCGCGCGGCCCAGGCCCCCCCGCCCCCCGGCCCAGGGCCCCCGCCCCCGCCCCCGCCCCCGGCCGTCAGCATCACCTCCCATCCGGCAAGCGCGCAGAGGCGCCCGGCACCGCCAGCCCGCCGCGCTCGCCCACCCACGCTCTCGGGCCCGCGGCCCGGCAGTTTCCAGCGCGAGCGCGCGCCCAAACGGCGCTCCCCTGGCCCCGCGGCCCCCGCCCCGCCCCGCCCCGCCCCGCTCGGCACGGCCGGCCCGGCCTGGCCCGCGAGCCCCGCAACTTCCCGCCCCGGGCCGCAGGTGGCGGCCGCGCTCACCCCCGGGCTGGGGGGCGCCCCCCGAGGCGGCTCGGCGGCCCCCAGCGCCCGGGCTCCGGCGGCCTGACGGTCCATGCCTGGCGGCCCGCGGCTCGGCGCCCTGGACGCTGCTCGGCCACGTGACGCGCCCGCCTGGCTGCCAGCCGGAGGATACGCCGCGGAGGGGCCAATCAGCCGGGGGTGCTCCCGGCCGAGGGGGGCGGGACACGGGTCACGAGGAAGCCGGGGGCGGGGCGGCGCGGGGCTGCGCGGGAGGGGCGGGGCGGGCGGCAGCCCTAGCCCCTCACCTACCGGTCCCGGGATCGGATTTTTGTCGGTCCTGCCGGTGCATATCCCAGGGCTGGCGACTAGCTGGGTCTGCAGTGCCAGCTGTTATCTCTGTCTGCCGCACCAGGCTGGATGTGCTTCAGCCCTCAAACCTCGGATTCCTGTTAGAATATTCAGGTACCGGAGCCTACCTGATAGTCTCCGAAGCTCAGCTCTCAAAAGTTTGAATGCAATTTAGCTCCAACCACATTGCACTCTTTTCGTCACAGGTGCTTGTAGAACTCAGGCTAGAATTGGGCCACCCACAAATGGATGTGCCCAGTGATCCTCCATCCTAAGTTAACGATAGTTCTTAAAGTTAATGCATCAGAAACCAGGGCAGATGATGAAAACAATGTGCAGACACCGTATGAGTCAGTGACCCTAAACATTGAGCTGCCACGGTAGCCTGGCCTGGGCTCCTATTTTTTGATGCTTGTCAACAACTGGCCCTTTGCAGCCCGAGGGGAGCAGCAGGCGGCCAGGGCAGGAGCTGGAGATAAACTCAACTCTAAAGTCAGCTTTCCCTGCCTTTCCCCATACTGCCTAAACTGTTAATAATAACAAACCTACTTAGGGTGTAATAATCATTTTAACAATGAAGTAGAAGAAAAGCTAGAAGCTGGGATTCCTGCTCACTAGGCCACCTTATGACAATCTTTGGGGATATTAGACAGCTTACTTCATCTCCCTTGAAGAATGTGTTTATAAATCACAAAAGAGGGCACCTAGGTGGCTCAGTTCGTTAAACATCTGCCTTCAGTTCAGGTCATGATCCCATGGTCCTGGGATTGAGTCTGGCATTGGGTTCCCTGCTCAGCAGGAAGCCTGCTTCTCCCACTCCCTCTGCCTATTCTCTCTCTCATAAAACCTTCAAAAAATAAAAAACCATAAAAGATATATTTCTTAAAAATTAGTATAATGGGAGTGTGGAAGGGATGGGCAAAACAGGTGAAGGGGAGTGAGAGACACAATCTTCTAATCATGGAATAAGTCATGGGGTAAAAGGTACAGTATAGGGAATATAACCAATGCTATTGGAGTGGACTTATATGGTGACAGATGGGAGCTACACTTGTAAGCACAGCCTAACATATGGAGTTGTTGAATCTGCTATGTTGTACACCTGAAACTAATGTTCACATTGTGTCAACTAGTCAAATTTAAAATTTTATTTTTTTTTAAAGATTTTTTAAATTTTTATTTATTTATGATAGTCACACACAGAGAGAGAGAGGCAGAGACACAGGCAGAGGGAGAAGCAGGCTCCATGCACCGGGAGCCCGACGCGGGACTCGATCCAGGGTCTCCAGGATCACGCCCTGGGCCAAAGGCAGGCGCCAAACCGCTGCACCACCCAGGGATCCCAAATTTAAAATTTTAAATAAAAAATTTTACTACTCTAAAAAAATTTAGCATAACATTTGATACACACTATCTTTTCTTTCCTCTATATAGACTTTCCTGCAGAGAAAAGAATGTGACCAATTAAGGTGTGCTCTGTTCTGACCCATGAGTCAAGTTTTCCCAAATCTATTTGGATCTAGGTCAACACTCTCCAATAGAACCTTTACGGAAATAAAAGCTCTATTAAAGTGTGCTGTCCAGTATGATAAACATGTTATTGAGAATTTGAAATGTGGACAGTGTAAATGAGAAAATATTTAACTTCAATAGGTTTAAACTGCCACACATGGCTAGAAGCTACCATAACCAACAGTGCAACTGTAGGTGCACTAGCTAGGAGCACCTTGACAACCTGCTAAGGGGAGCCCCATACACTGAGTTGTGATGACGCAGGGTGATCCACCTTCATAGCCTTGCTTTAAGGAACCAACCACCAAGGGTCACTTGGGTGGCTCAGTCATTTAAGCAGAAGACTTTTGATTTAGGCTCAGGTCATGATCTCAGGTAGTGAAATGGAGCCCTACCCTGGGCTCTGCACTCAGCATGGAATCTGCTTGAGATTCTCTCTCTGCCCCTCCATCTATGCATAGGCTCTTTCCCTCAATAAATAAACCTTAAAAAAATAAAAATAAAAAATAAAAATAAAGGAGCCAACCACTACCCTCTTTGCTCTCATCTCTTATAAACAATATGTACCTCCTTCCTAAAACAAAAATGCCATGGAAGTATTCAGAATCTTAAACTTCCTTAATGGAAATGTGAAAGAGGACATTTTTCTTCTTCTTTTTTTTTTAATTTTATTTATTTATTCATGAGAGACACAGAGAGAGAGAGGCAGAGACACAGGCAGAGGGAGAAGCAGGCTCCATGCAGGGAGCCCGATGTGGGACTCGATCCCAGGTCTTCAGGATCACGCCCTGGGCTGAAGGCACCACTGAGCCACCCGGGCTGCCCACATTTTTCTTACTTTAAAACAAATGACAAAAATAAAATAAATAAAATAAAATAAAATAAAATAAAATAAAATAAAATAAAATAAAATAAAATAAATATAAAATAAAAAAAATAAAATATAAAATAAAATAAAATAAAATAAAATAGTAAAATAAATAAAATAAAAAATAAAATAAAAAATAAAATAAAATAAATAAAATATAAAATAAAATAAAATAAAATAAACAAATGACAAAAACAAAACAAAAAAAATGACAAGCAAAGAACACTTAAGAGTATAAAAGATCAAAGTAAAAATGTCCTAAGATTCTAGTATCATAGGACTGAATATGTAATAATAGTCATACCACAGGGGCGCCTGGGTGGAGCAGAGTCAGTTAAGCATCTGACTCAACTGCAGCTTGACTTTGGCTCAGGTCATGATCTCGGGGTCCTAAGATCCTGCCCAGTGTCCAGCTCCACACTTCCCAGACTCTGCTTGAGATTCTTTCTCTCTGCCCCTCCCACTCATGCTCTTCCTCCCTCTCTAAAAATACATCTTTTTTAAGAAGGGGAGGGGAGCCTGGGTGGCTCAGTTGGTTGGGCATCTGCCTTCCGCTCAAGTCATGATCCTGGGGTCCTGGGATCAAGCCCCTCATCAGGCTCCCTGCTCAGTGGGAAGTGCATCTCCCTCTCCCTCTGGCCCTCCCCCTGCTCATGCACTCTCTCTCTCAAATAAATAAAATCCTTAAAAAAAAAAAAAAAAAAAAAAAAAAGTACCGCAAATCAATAGAGAAAAATGGCCACAAACAGTGGTTGTAGAAAATTTAGTTAACTGCTTGGGGAAAAAAAATGAGTTGCCTTCAGCAAGAGGAAGAGTTTTCAACAACAGAAATCATACACACACCAAAATATCCTCTGGGAATCAAATACCACCACCACCAAAAAAAAAAACAAAAAACAAAACAAGGAACAAAAAACAAAAAACAAAAAACAAAAAAACAAACACCTAGGGACAAATTATTTGCAATAAAGGAGAGACAAACTAAAAATTAATAATTTAAAAACTCTTTTAAATTAATAAGAAAAAGTTTTTAAAATAGTCAACATGAAAAAATAAGAGAACATTAACTTCATTAATATAAAAAAATGCACATTAAAACAATGACATCTCATTTTTCTTCTATTTAAATAATAAAAATTTAAAATATAATACCCACTACAGGTAAAGGTGTTGACATTTTCCTACATTGTTTCAAAGTATTCTCATACACTGCAAATTAGCAATACATGTCAATAGTCTTTAAAATAGTTATATCCTTTAATTTAGTAATTCTACCATTGAACATCAATCTCCTAAAGAAATAATGAGGGATGTGAACAAAGATTTATAAGAATCTTCAACAGCATTTATAAGAAAAAACTTAGAGGTGACAATGTCCAACCACAAGAGATTAGTAAAATAAGTCATGCTCATCTATACAACGAAATGTTAAAAATTCATTAAATGTTTTTAAGGCTATTTAATGACATAGAAAATAACATAAGTGAAACATAATATTACATAAAACTACACTGAATGCTCTTCTCAGTGACATCAATGTTAAGTTATAGGATGTAAAATTCAAACAGTTGCTTCCCCTGCTCCCAGAATGCCCTCTCTGCTCCAAGCCATCCTCCAACTTGCCTCTGAAGGCCTTCTCTGCTGCTCTAATCTACTCCCTACCCACTGCCCTCCTTTTTGTTGCTGGGCTTCCCCACTGTAGACACTTCTCTAAAAATCAGTCCCTGAGACAGAAGACACCTTTATAATGTCTTTATCTTCTTAAAGGTCAACTTTTGCCCCCAGTACCCAGAATTCTCTTCTGTACCATCAATAAGCTCTCTCAGGATGTCCAGCTCTGTTCCTCCAACCCCCACTTCCATCCCAAAAAGCTTCTCTTCTATCCTAATAATGGATACTTAATGAATGAGAAGATCTAATAGTAAAAAAAAAGTAAAAAATAGCAAAAATCCTCATAAAGGAAATAAAGTTTAACTCCAGAGCATAAGGTTATGGGATATTTTTATTTCCTTCTGCATGTTATTCTGCTCCCTCCATTATTTCCTACAACAAATGCACACCATGTATACTTTTTTAGTAAAAGGAGGACAAAAAAATGGAAATGTACTTTCTCCTCCACTTCCACTGGTCCCTAGGTCCAGATTAGAGATACTCATTCTTGACCAGGGTTAACGAAAGAAACTCAAGTTTATGATTTCCATATATTTTGGAAAACATTTAGGACTACAATAGTAAGTCCAGCCTTAACAAGTAGCCTCTGGCCACTAAATACCAATTTTCTTTTCTGGAATTAAAGACTAACGCATTAACAAAATTAAAGCACGTCTCAAAATCAGAAAGCCATCTTGTCTGCCACCTCTTAGCAAACTGCAGGTGAACTCACAATACAAAACTGGCCAGAGGGCTTACAATACTATTTC